TTACTCTAAAAAGTGATTACAATAAGTGAGTGACATCAAGTGAATACAATAAATATTAAAATTAATGATATTACTTAAATAAAAACTTGCTACTCATTAGTTAAATTAGTGCTAACATATGAAAGAAAAAATTTCCCTGCTAAATTGTTAGATGGTTTATCTTATACGTTGTACTTAAAAACACTACATATATGACGAGAGAATCTTCCGCTCAATTGTAAGCAAATTTATCTTCTAATACCTAAAAGCACAACATATGAGCAAGAAAATTCTTTCGCTCAATAATTAGCAAACGTATCTTCTTATATCCAAAGTACTACTTATGAGAGAAGAAATTTTCCAGCTCAATTTTTAGCCGGCTTATCTTCTTATCTTCTTATATGTCACGCCCCGGACCTCCCCGGACACGTCAACAACCCGCCGTATAATACGAATGGTCAACCGCAGTCCAACACATTCATATTATACAAGGCGTCATGAATATCATTCACACATAAGTCATCCATAAACATACATAATAAACAATTCAATACGCAGCGGGAAACATTGTTTAAAACAAAAGGGCCACACAGGGCAAACATGAGCACGCAGGCCCTAAAGTCAAATATCCATGAGCATGTTTATTAATGTTCTAAAACAGAATGGAGGAAGCACGAACCAAGTCTTCTCTCCGGGGAAATCACTCGGGCAACGAGCACAGGAAGCAAGCTCTAGCCTCAACCTGAAATGGTGGTGGGACGCCCCTGAAGGGGTCAGTACTCTATACGGCTATAAAGTACTGGTGTGGCAGGCATCTAATAGATATACAACAAGTATTTCAAACACAAGACCCTCAAATAGGGTGATAGTATATTATGATTTGTAACCCTAAGTTACCCATTTGAAAGTATACTCACTTTATGTAAAAGTCAAGTAGTCGGCCCGTGGGCCCATGTTCATTTAGAAATAACCATTCCCATTCCCCGTGGCTACAAACCACGACAACTCAATAGAGTCCAACCCTAACACATGACATTGTATTCTAGAGCTCGGCTCTACCACATCACCATACAATTCATGTCACTCGGGTCGATTTCCTTACCTTGCGTTCTAGAGCTCGGCTCTATCACATCACCACGCAAGCCCTAGAGCTCGGTTCTAGCTATACAATACATAGACTCCAAGTCTACACCTTACATGCATTCTAGAGCTCGGCTCTATCACATCACCATGCATTAAGGTCCAATTCTCAAGCAACCCTATGCCTAGAATTGACATATCATTAAACTACCATGGGTCATTCTTAAAGACTGCCCATAACTTAACCTTAGTTCCATACTAAGTTATTATATACACTTGAACTATATTCAAGTACCTTTCGTACAATCCAATCCCTAGGATCAATTTAATCAACAAGTTCCAATAATCACTACTAGTATTTCAATACTATAAGATTATTGTTATCATACCATTATCCTCATTATTTGTAATTCTCTACATATTTATAATTATGTAGCAGCAACTTAAGTATTCAATCTCAATACACAAATATTCATTTATGTAACCACATAATTCATACATGAGCAAAATGCCTATTTCACAAAAAATAGTTCATTTATACTCATTTGATCTCATAATATTCATACATTCTCAAATCATTTCAAATTTCATTCTTTGGCAACTATATCAATATTTCATCAATATATAATCATCATAATCCATGAAAAATAATGATTTAAGCATTTAGGTAATCTCATGCTTAACCTACAAGTTGTAAGCAATTAGATGTCAATCCTCACCTTAATTGAGCTTTAAACTTTTCCTTCTTGATCCAATGGTCAAAGCTTTGGCCACGGTGGATTAAGAACTGATTCCTTGCTTAAATATGAGTGTTAAACCGCCTCCCCAAAGTGCTAGCTCACCCTCAAACGTTGATACGAAAACAGCCCCTAGAATGGGTGTTTTCCGGTCAACTCGTCTCCTAGTTTTTCCAAGATTTACTCTAGGTTAGTATCTAACCTTTACATCAATTAAATAACTTTTCAAGGACATATTATACACTTGGATTAGTGTACAATAGTTCCACCAATCGTTCATATCATTTGGAAAATGAAAGGAAAGGTTTTGGGGTTAACAACTCACTTTAGAAGAGTAGATCCGTTTCTGCGAGATTGTGTTTTGATCGGACGATTTGGAAGCCTTCCACTACTCCGATTGATGCAAACCAGACCTTCACGGATTCCTCGTCTTGAGAGATTTCTTTTGGTATCTCACACGCCTTAATTGGATTGGTATAGCTCGAGATATCCACCAAACAGCTTCAGCACTCTCAGAGCTCGAGTTTGCAGACCACTGCTCGCTCCAGATCGATTTTTGGATGATTACTCTCTCCTCTCGAACAGAGACAACTCAATTATGAAAATATACTTCAAAAGCTATCCAAGGACACCTTATACACGTTGTTTGGTCGAGTATAACTCCCATAATGAGTGGAGACAAACAGCACACCATTTTGTGCGAAAAATAGAGATGGTGGCCCAACATTTGATTCCTATCAAGTCTTGTGCAGCTCCTCTCCATGGTGGTCGGCCAAGGTAAGTCTTCTCACCCATTTTTATTTGTCTTGCAGGTACTAATATCATGTGGAGTGGTTCCCCATTGATCCCAATTATTTTGGGGTCCAAAATATCTACCAATACTCCCAAAAATGGAAAGATGGGTCCTATTGTTTTATCTTTGTCAAAAGATGTCTTTTTGTACTCATCCTAATTTATTTAGAACAAGTCAACTTCTTACATCACATTATTGATCTCCAATATGTGTAGGATCATCTCAATAATTTACATGATGAAAATTATAAAAGAATACGGGTTTGAACAATACAATATTCAATCATGTACTACGTAAAACATTAATCGTTTTTTCCATTGTTTTGAAATCGGAAATTCAATACATCACTTTGAATTTAAGAATGGAATTTTTCAAGGACGTTCGGGTGCGGTGTCACATTATATACCTAAAAACACTGCATGTGGGAGAGAAAACTTTTTAACTCAATTGTTAAAAGAACTACATATGAGAGAAAATTATCTCGCTCAATTGTTAGGAATGTTATCTTCTTGTTTTCATATACTTATACACATTACATATGAAAGAGGAAATTATCTCATTCAATTGTGAGCCAGCTTATCTTATATGGAGTACTTAAAAGAACTACATTTGAGTGAGAAAATTTTCCCGGTCAATTGTTAGTAAGCTTATTTGTAATCTTCTAATACCTAAAAGCACTACATACGAGAGAGAAAATTCTCTCACTCAATTGTTAGCAAGCTTATGTGGTAATACCTAGCTAGAAGCACTACATATGAGAGACAAAATTCTCTCGCTCAATTGTTAGCAAATGTATCTTCTTTAACCTAAAATCACTACACATGAAAGATAGAATAATGTTGAATTGTTAGCCAACTTATCTTGTAACCAAGAACACTAAATATGAGAGACAAAAAATTTTCGCTCAATTGTTAGCGACTTACCTTATACTTAAAAGAACTACATATGAGAGAGAAAGTTTTCTCGCTCAGTTGTTAGCAAACTTATTTTCTCATACCTAAAAGCACATATATGAGAGAAAAATTATCCTGCTCAATTTCACTGCTTAACTGTTTGCAAGTTTGTCTTCCAATACCTAGGAGCACTACATATGAGAGAGAAAGTTCTTCGTTCAATTGTTAGCAACCTTATCTTCTATTTTGTAATAATAATAGGGAAATTGCCCTAAATAGGAGCAAATAAACAAATTTGGGAATTCCAAAATAGGACCACTATGATAGTGAAAATTCTTCCGCTCAATTGTTAGTCTGATTATCTTATTTTATACTTAAAAGAACTACATATGAGAGAAAATGTTCGCCCGCTTATTTTAAATTATATTTCATTAATGAAGTAAATAAAAAATTATATGAAAAGTAGTTAAAAATGATTTTGTGAAGTAACTTCTGTTTAAAACAAACCACAAATGATAAATCTATATTTTCATATTTGCCCCTTTTTCTTAAAAAATAATGAATAATAAATTGAACTAAATTTTGAAGTTTTATTTTATTAGCACTGATGTGATTATCATTTTCATTTGCTAATTTTTTATTCTCGAGTGACATTATAATAGGAAGAAATAAGGTTTGTCACAGTTTAACGAAGGGAGTAGAATACAAAAAATGAAAATAATATTAGATTTTTATTATTCGTAAGATTGATAAATTCAAAATACTCATCGTTTTCAATTTAGACCAACTCAAACAGAACCAAATAGACCAACTCGAAGTTTTTTTATTAGAACTAATTAGATTTTCATTTGCGATATTTATACATCAAACCAGTGCACATCAAATCATAAAACACTTTAAGAAAAAATTCTTAAATAAATTTAGTATTTTATATTTTTCCTTAAATGAGTTGATTTTGATTTTAAAGACCGTTTAGTAGTACTGAAACTGGTTAAATCTCTTGAAAAGGATGAAATTTTTAGAGAAGTGGTTGAATTAGTCGAATCTATTGGTTTATGGATAAATTTAATTTAAAATAATTTTATTAATGAAATAAAGAAAAACATTATATGAAAAGTAGCTAAAATAATCACATACAGTAACTTTCCATATTCAAACAACAAAATAGATCATAAATTGAATATAGATATTTGGCATAATTATAGAGACCGTTAATAAATTATATTTGTATATATTCAATATTGATCTCATATGAAAGATCACACAAAATTATGAAATTTGATATATTTTTTGTAAAACTTGAAACAAAAATGAAAAAGTTATAATACGTTAAAGAAAATTGGGGTTTATTATAGGTTGGGCCCCACCAATTGCATCTCCTACGGCTGACCCCTTCCATTTCAAAATAAAAAAGTTTCTTTGTACACCTTATACCCATTAGTACACCATATATTAGGCCCAAAGTAAAAAAAAAAAAATTAGCCCTTTCCCCACCTCAACCCCATGTACACGGCTTCTTTTTAAACTTGTAAAAATATACACGGCTTCTTTCGTATCAAACTTCATTCCAACATCTGGAGCTTCAATATCCTTTTTCTGACCATGTGCATCTGTCATGGTACCATATTCAATTCAAAAAAATTAAATAATTTATTCAGACAACTTTGTGCTATACACAGACCATGTACGCAAATACAGACAACTTTAAGTATTTCACAGACAAACACAGATACTTGTTCCAGCATACACAGACAAAGCTTCATACACTACACAGACATGACCAATCTACACGGTTTCTTTTGTAACAAACTTCATACCAACATCTGGAGCTTCAATATCCTTTTTCTGACCATGTGCATCTGTCATGGTACAATATTCAATTCAAAAAAGAATAAATAATTTATTCATACGGACAACTTTGTGCTACACACAGACAGTATATGCAAATACAGACAACTTTAAGTATTTCACAGACAAACACAGATACTTGTTCCAACATACACAGACAAAGGTTCATACACTATACAAACATACATGACCAATCTACAACATCCACAGAAACAAAATACGAATAAGATGAAGTCCTACCCAGTTCATACACGACGTCCATGGAAGCCTCCAACATCGGTTGGTCATCTTCTCCAATTTGGGCCTTGTTTCTGTCATCTTCTTCAGTTTGGTGAGCTCCAGAGGTCTGTCCTTCAAGTCCTGCAGCTGCGGAGGTCTGTCCGCCACCTTCTCCAGCTACTACCGGTGTTCCTTCGGTTTGGTGAGCTCCATCATCTCCGCCTCCAACAGTTGCATCCCAGAAAGCCCAAAAATCGTCATCGTTAACATCTCCCATGGTGTCTTCCAACAAGCAACGCGATTCACGACCCCAAAAAAATAGCTTCACCTGTGGAGAAGACCACTTGCGACAGATGTTTTGGGAGGGGAGCGTTGAAATTTTTTGGGAGGGGAGGGAGACTGGAGCACATGGGATTGAGGTGGGAAAGGAGGTAATTTTTTTCTGTTACTTTGGGCTTTATATATGGTGTACTAATGGGTATAAGAAGGTGTACAAAGAGACTTTTTGTTTCAAAATTGGAGAGTTCGGTATTTTCAAGTGCAAATGGCCACGTGTCATTGCTATAGTTAAGAAGTGAATTAAGGAGGGCTAGACACCTGGGATTCATTAAGGGTAAAATTGCATTTTTATGAGTTATTTCTTTTCTTATATATAAATAGATAGATGGTCCATTTTTTACGGTTTCCAACACACAAGTTAGACCATTAATATCTTTCATTCTCTATTAGTAAATAAAATTAAAATACAATAAATCAGATTTGAAAAATTAAAATGAGAAGAATTTAATAACATTTTTCAAAAATTTAATTTATAATACATGAATAAATAAAATATAATCAAAATAGAGTATGTGAATAGTGCAACATTCATCAATGTTGTAATTAAAAAGAACAAAGGTAATACTTTTTTATACACAACATTTTTTGTTACATTGGAATATTTAGTATTTTTATAGCATATGAGAATTTTTCAATACACAGTTACACACTAAGGATGGACCCACCGGCGGTCCGGGAACGGGATCGCGGTTCCGATGTTGAACCGGGTACCCGATCGGGTATCTGGCAGGCCCAGTATCAGGTTTGAAAAACGAGAACCGGACTGGACGGTCCTGGTCCCAGTTGAATTGGGACATGTTGACATTTATTTTTTTTATTTAAATTTTTTTACTTTTCGGTGGGGGGGGGGGGATTGGGGGTGGGGGTTGAAAACCTACAAATATCTTCTATTTCCAAAATTTTCCTACATCTATTCTCTCAGACTCCTATTCTCTAATTCTCTCTACGTCATAATAATATATTTATATCTACTTAAATTTAAATATACGAGTATAATACTCCGTATTAAGTATATATATTAGGGTATTACATATAATTATACTACTCATTTTGTAGTAGTATAGTCATATATTATGTACTCTTAACATTATATTATATACTCTTAACATTATATTATATATTATAGATATTAATTATATTATCTTACTATTTACATGAATTAATTATGGATACATTAATTCATTAAACATAGTATATACTTTATAGTTTATACTTATAGTTAACTAATTGCTACAATTATATGTATATATACATGTATATACTATATACGAAATATACATATAAATATAATTATAAAATATTATATAATATACATGGAAAATATTCATGTAAGGTAGGCCTAAAAGTTAAAATTTTAGGTCTCTTTCAGTTAAGGGGCTTCCGGGATGAATTTTTTGATGAAATTTTGTGAGAATGTTCTCCATGAAGTTTATATTATATCTACCAAATTTCAGATTAAAATGTAATCGGGAAGTCACTTAAATAATTTTTTGAAAATTGGCCAGTTTTTTATACATATAACATGCAGTTTTTTTCAATAATTTAGTTAATTGACTTCCCGATTGAGTTTTAAGTTGAAATTTGGTGGACATAACATGCACATCAGGAGAACATGCTCTCAAAATTTCATAAAAATATTTGACCCGGAAGCACTTCAAATGAAAGAGGCCTAAAACTTGTAAGTTTTAAGTCTACCTTAGGAGAACACTTCCCTAATATACATACTGTATATGATATATACATATAAATATAATTATATAATACTTCGTAATAGATAATATACATACTATATACGAAATATACATATAAATATAATTATGTAATGGAGTTATATAATATAATTATGTAATGGAGTTATACACACACTGACACACACATGCATGCATGCATATATTATCTATACACAATCTTATAAAGGTGAATGATGGTAAGAGTTACTTAGGTATTAAAAATGTGTTGGTGTACATTAATGCTAATGTCATTGTATCATTCAATTCAGAGGTTGTACATTGTACGCAGTATTTGATATTCTTTGGTATTCCCGTTAGTTCACTGTCAAATCAAACACTTGAGTTTACCCACTTTGCACTTGCATCCTTTAACGTCCATTCTATGATCTCTACCAAATATGGTTTATTCATCTTTTCATTTTTTTCTCTGGTCATCAATTGTCGGCATGATCTACTATGTGTTTACTTCTTCTCAGTGGCATATCCAGAAACTTTGGCGAGTGAGGGCAAACTTGACTACAATTTAGTCTCATATTTCACAAATAACAAATCACATTATTAATATTGTTTGATTAAATTTAGTTTATAATATCTATGTACAAGTATGAAAAAAAAGAAGATTAATTTATATTACTGGTGTGTAAAGATGTAATTGCAAATAAAATGTAATAAATTTACCTAAATATAAGTTAAACAGTCTTAAACATAACCAAGGTTGTCACGGCGTCGACTAGGCGTCGCCTAGGCGCCGACTAGGCGTCGCGGCGATGAAGAGGCATCGACTTGGGAGATCGACTCGCCAGAAGTTCACCAGTCGCGTATGGCGTCGCCAAGGCATCGTCCTGGCGTGAACTTCTCGACTTGTGGCCGCCTATTTTAGCCCAGTCGAAAGTCGTCCGCAGGCCCAAAAGCATATTAAGGTTTAATTTTTTTTAGGAAACACGTTTAATTAATTAAGGTTTTAACTTAAGGCGGTGGCCTTCTAATTAAATACATAGCCCGAAGCCATCGATTAACTCACAAATACAGAAGCAACGATTGACTTCAGAGGGAAGAAGAAGTCGCCGGTCAAGCCATAGCCATAGCCACCTCCCTGTCCGTCGTATTACGACCACCAGTCCAGTTGAGTAACGATTTCTTATCTAATCATACTCGTACTCGATAAGGTACAGAGTACAGAGTCTACAGACTGTCTTTGCCTCATACTCGTTTTAAACAACATTTTAATCTGTCAAATATTTTTCTATGTGATCGTTTTTCATCCACTTGGGAGTTGGAAACAAAATAAAATTTTAGCACCGCAAATTGACTTCCTCATTCTTTGTAATAAAAACTGCAATTTGATTGTGAATTTGTGGTTTTTTATTATATATTTATATGTTTTTTTTCAAGTTATTTATATTTTATAAAGTATGAAATATTTAAACCATTAATTTATTATATGTAAAATTGTAAATATGTAATATACATATAATAGATATACTGAGCTCGTACTAGTTTAATAATAAACTATGAAATATTTAAACCATTAATTAATTATATGTTATCAAATTATAAACTATTAAACTATTACAAAAAAATATTTTATATACAATTAGTTAATTACGTATACATATAGTTCAACCTTTTGTTTGTATTAGTTCTTATTTGTTAGTTGGATAGTTAATTTTTCATTATTTTATTTTAAACCTTTTTTTATACACAATAGTTATGGCGGACAATGAAGGTGACACCATGTATGATCCAGCTAATGATCCCGCTAGAAGAGCAAAATCTAATGATCCAGGATGGAATCATGGATTTTGGCCAGACATGAACAACAAAGACATAGTCCAATGTAGGCATTGTAATAAGCAAATGTCTTCTGGCATAAAGAGATTAAAACAACATCTAGCTGGCGGGTATGGAGATGTTGCTAAATGTCCTCATACGACAACAGAACTTATGACGGAGATGCGAGCATATTTAATGAGGAAATCCAGGAGTAAACCGATCCAGATTGAAGATGACGGCGATGAGGATGATGTTGAAGTACCTTTCACTCAAATAGATACTTCAACTTCTCAACCGAGTTCTGGGACAGCAACCAAGAGAAAAAATGCTGCTTCGCAATTCTTTAATGTCCCACCAAAAATGCCCAAACAAAACAAATCAATTGCCTCCATCATTCGCAAAACTCCCGAGGAGGTTGTTGATGAAAGACATGCGAAAGGCCCCACCCAAACTACACTAGAACAATGCACAAAAAGCAAGGAGGAGAAAGAGAGGGTCTTCATGCACATTTCTGATTTTTTTTATGAAAACGGCATTCCCTTTAATGCAGCAAACTCCAGGAGTTATGAGATCATGGTGGAGTCGATTGGGCAGTTTGGACCAGGACTTAAACCTCCTAGCTATCATGAGTTGCGTGTACCACTTCTTGAAAAAGCAAAGAAAAATACAGAGAAGCTCAGAGAAAAACATGAACTTGCTTGGAAGGAATACGGGTGCACACTCATGTCTGATGGATGGTCTGACCGAAGGAATCGACACTTGATTAATTTCCTTGTCAATAGTCCAGAAGGCACTTTTTTCCTAGACTCGGTTGATGCATCAGGTGAATCTCAAGATGCAACATTGCTGGCAGGTTTGCTTGAGAAAAAAATTGAAGAAGTTGGAAAAGACAAGGTAGTGCAAGTGGTGACAGACAACGGCTCTAACTATAAGGCTGCGGGAAAACTTCTAGAGCTCAAGATTCCCACGCTTTATTGGACTCCATGCGCTGCACATTGTTTGGATTTGATGTTGGAGGATATCGGTAAATTAGCCGAGTTCAAGCCCCACATTGAAAAAACAAGACGTGTGACTACTTTCATTTATCGGCACACGAGAATCCTCCATTCAGTGAGACAAAAGACGGGTGGGAAGGATCTTGTAAGACCTGGAGTTACTAGATTTGCAACAGCGTTTCTCACTTTGCAATCTCTATATAAACACAGAGAAGCATTGAGAAATCAATTTAGCGGTTTGGATTGGGGTAGATCTAAATTGGCTGCCACAGAAGCAGGAAAGAGGGTTAGTGAGATTGTGTTGTCTACTAGATTCTGGAGTGCAGTGGAAGACTGCATACGAGCTTCACAGCCGCTTTTAGTTGTCTTGAGGATAGTTGATGCTGATGAGCAACCAGCTATGCCAGAGCTTTCACTAGCCATGGATTGTGCCAAGAAAAAAATCAGTGAGTCATTTGAAAATAAGGCTAGAGTTTTGAGAAGCCTAGTTGGGATCATTGAGACACGATGGGAAGTCCAGATGGAGGTCAAATTATACGGGGCAGCTTTATTTTTAAATCCGTCTAAATATTTTGATCTCAAACAGACTGATCCCACATCAGCATCAAGGCAACAATCAATGTTTAACAATGTGCTTGAAAAGATGGTCACTGATGAAACATTGCAGGCCAAGATAAGTGATCAAGCGACAGATTATGACAAATTGAGAGCAAGTTTTGCAAAGCAACTCGCGATTAGGCAACAAAAATCTAAGAGTCCTCGTAAGTGATACTTTTTATATATTTGAAAATTAGTTTAAACTTTAAACATATTAAAAATTAATTAATATTTTATTTGTGATTAATTTAAAGTTGATTGGTGGGATGCTTTTGGTGGACTCACTGTTGAGCTGCAATCGTTCGCAAAACGCATAGTTGGTCTCTGTTGTACCTCTTCTGGCTGTGAGCGTAATTGGAGCACTTTTGAGTTTGTAAGTAATAGACTTACAATTTTGAATATTAACTACAATTTTTAAATTACACAAGATTTTAACTAATTAAATCAAAACACTTATCAAATATGTTTTTAATCTTTATTTTAGATTCATACAAAAAGAAGAAACAGGTTGGAGCATAAGAGGTTGAATGACTTGGTTTTTATTCAATATAATCGGAAGATAGCGACCAGATTTCAGAAGCGGCGTGAAGAAGGAACAAACTTCAACCCTTTAATATATGAAGATTTCCAATGGAACAATGAATGGGTCAGCAATGACGTTGTTCATCCCGGTGATGATCTTCTTTGGAGTCAAGTTGATGAAGTTGTGGGTGCATCAAGCAATCTTCAGGGTCGTAATCTTCCTAGGACTAGTAGCTCTCGTGGAGAATCGGTTTATTCTCGACGTCGTGGTTCAAATTCTTCATTAAGGTTGATTGATGAAGACATGAACAACGAGGAAGAAAGTTTTCCAAATGATGATGAAGATGTTGAAGATGACTATGGCCAAACACCACCCACTCCTACTCATGATGATGATGATGATCAGGGCAATGAAGGCCGTAGAGATGATTTAGTCCTTGATGATTTTTGATAAATTAGTAGTTCGATCTTTACACTGCTTATTTGAGATATACATTTTTAATCTTAATTCCCATTAATAAACCTTGTTTTTAATTATTAATTGTGGATTTCAATTCTAAGTTATATGCGTTTTAGTTAGTAATATATTATACATAATATATAATTAAATATATAATTATATATGTAAATATATAATTATATATATAATATAATATAATATAATATAATATAATATAATATAATATAATATAATATAATATAATATAATATAATATATACATACAGGCGACTACTCGCCTAATTGTCGCCTAGGCGGGCGCCTTGTCGTCTAGGCGATATGGCGGTCAGCTGGCGCCGCGACTCGACTTACCGCCGTGACAAGCATGAACATAACATAATTTAGTGAATTTTTTAGCCTTTCATTCTTTTAATATTAAAGAAAACACTTCTAATCCTATTTTAGAATTTTTTTTCTACATTTAACTCTTAATTTGAGCAATTTCTTGTAAAAATTTGGACATATATATAGGGGTTGAGTTGGGGTTGAGTGGGGGCAGCTGCCCCCGCTGCCCCCATAGTGGATACGCCACTGCTTCTTCTGATCCAAATGGGCTGAATTCACTCGGTCGTTCCACATGTTCATGCCCTTCGATTCAAATGTTGTTGTCTCTAATTACGCTTCCATCTTTCCTTTTCGTTCTTCCCGTTTACGCCATTTGCAGCTTCGTTATCTCAAATGAGAAATAAAGATTTTCATAGCTCCTTGTTTTGCACACAGTTCACCTATTAGCGCAGCCGTTACAAAAGTTGCACACATGACCTAGTGACCTAGGGTCTGGTTGTTAAGAATTATCACTTTTAGCCACAGTTACGTTTCTGTAGGTCTTTTGGACTGCTTGGGTCTCAAATTTTGGTAAGTTTCACATATTAAGATTTTAGTAGGTGTAAACTTTAATTAGCTGGTCATACATGACGGGTTTCAAAATTTTATGCTTTCCATATGTTGATTTGTATGTGTTCACAGTGACTGCTATGGAGTACATGGGAACCATTGACAATTTTAGCCCCATATATACACTGTCGTTTTATAACATATACATGTGAACTACGGTGCTAAAAATCTATAACTGTAGTCACCAAAGCCTGAAAATATCCCAATAGGGGAAAAGTAAATAATGCTTTTCTTACTTCAATGCTAGTGTTAGAACTTTTATTGTGAGTCAAGTTTGTCTGTAATGTCTTGTTTAATAAAGTAGACTAGATATACCATTTATGGTATTAGATTAGTAATCATTTTGTAATAAATGGGTTAAAGGGAATAAGGCCCAAAAAGGCCTTGGCCCAAATCCCAAGGTTTACCTAATTCGGTAACCTGTACAGCGCCTATAAATATGCGCGTTCTGTACAGGTTCCGATATCGATTAATACACTCTAGCCTTACGTTGCTAAAATTCTTCTCGATATAATAGAAAGACGATTTCCAAAGTTCTCGATATTTCATAAATCATTCTGTGAGATCGTTCTTCTCTGTTATTCGATGATATCCATCTAGTTGTGTGTTAGTCTACAGAAATCTGGGACCAACAACTGGTATCAGAGCCTGCTCGAGTGTGATCGTCGTCAAAAAGTTTTCGAAGTCCCCTGCTTTTCGTCTTTTCGATATTTTACTTATTTAATCGTTGTAATCTCTCTTCTGATGGAAAAATTGTAAAATTTATACTGTTGAAATCGCCTCTAAAAAACGAGCAAGCAGTATATCTTAGATTTTTGATTTGTTAAGGTTTCAGATTTGAGGTTCTCGATATATTGATATCGAAAAGCAGGGTTCTCGAAGTTATAGCAGGTTTTTCGAGCTACAAACTGCACAGGAAGGTTTTCGAGATCAAGGACTTCAGTGAAAAGCAATTTTATCCGTTTAAAAATTGTTTTTCAATTTGCAGGATTTCGACTCTACATTCTCGATACTAGTTCTCGAACTGAGTTCTCGAGGTTTAACTTCTCGATACTCAGTTTTCGATACTCCATATCGAAATCTTACTTTTCGTATTTGCAGGTTCTCGACATTAGCTTCTCGATACTCAGTCCTTCGAAAACTAAGTTCTCGAACTTAAGTTTTCGATACTGAGGTTCTCGATAGCTATTTCTCGAACCCACTTTTCGATAGTAAGGTTCTCGATATCAAATATCGAAAACTGCTTCTCGATAGTACTTCTCGAACTCTACTTCTCGAACTATTTCCTGAACTAGGTTTTCGATATTCTGTAAGTTAACTTTTCTGATCAAATCACTCGAACGGTCTTTCAAAGTCAAACAGCAAGGATGGAAGCGTTGGCACTTGGAAATGAAAACAGGCCTCCAATCCTGAGGAGAGGAGAATATCAGATGTGGAAGACAAGGTTCTTAAACTTTCTGGAAGGTAAAGACAACTCATCTGCAATGCTGGAATCGCTTACTGAAGGACCTGCACAAATCTGGATGAATGTGACTTCAGATGGTGTAAACAATCCTCCCGTTACTGTTGAAAGAAGATTGAAAGCAAAATCCGAGTACACTGAAGCAGACAGACTCAGAGTCAAGGCAGATCTGATGGCTAAAACATATCTTCTCCAAGCTATTCCTAACGACATATACATTCTGATAGACAGCATGGAGACAACAAAGGAAATGTGGGATGAGGTGAAGAAATTAATGATTGGAACTGATCTTGGATTGAAGACAAAGAAAGCGAACATCTTGACTGCCTATGATGCATTTAAAGTCCTACCTGGTGAGGCGCTCCATGAGACGTATAACAGATTCGTACAACTGATCAATGAGATGAGAAAGATCAAAGTTGTCAAATCTAATATGGAAATGAACATACGTTTCTTGTCGAGCCTGCCGCCAAAATGGAGAAGAACTGTTAAGAATCTACGACAGCACCTAGATTTGGATGAACTTGATCTCTGCACTGTCCATGAACATCTGCAGCAGTTTGTTAATGACACTGCTGAGATGGAAGGAAGTTACTCTGCTAACCCCTTAGCACTAATGATGGAAACTCAGCCGAAGAGTTTATCTAAGATCCAGAAGAGGAGGAAGGCAGTAAAGATGGAGTCTGAAGAAGAAGAGAGTGAAGAAGAAGTGGATGTTGAATCTGAATTGGCCGAGCTACAAAAGAAGATGGCCCTGCTGACCAATCAGTTCAATAAAAGATTTCCAAAGAAGGGAAACTCATCCAACAAGCTCCGAACCTCCTCCGCCAACTACAAATTAAAGAACAATGATCAGAACTCCTCTAGTAGAGTAGTTGCAGCAGAAGACCCTCCCAAATGCTTTAACTGTGGAAAAGCTGGACATGTCATCAAGGACTGTCGCTTACCAAGGAAGAGGGACTTCAACTATTACAAGCAGAAGATGCTGTGGAACAAGCAGAAGATGTTCATGGCTAAGCAAGATGATGATAGTGCTGCAACACTCACTGAGAATGATCCATGGCAGGAGGAGAGTTCTGACGATGAAGAAGAGGAAAACTTAGCCCTGATGGCTATTGTTGAGAAGATAGAAGAAGAAAAGGGTGATGCTGCAATCCCTGATGAAAGTTCAAGCTCCAACCACACTGTAAGTACTTCTAAATCCTCTTGCTCCTGCACTTGCAAAGTTCATTCTTTTCAAGAAAAAGATGACATTATAAAGGAGTTAAGAGACAGGTTAGATCACAATTACAAAAACCTTCTCACAAAACTTGACAGAATTTCCTCATTAAGCGTACAACTTGACAATGAAAAGGACATGCTGAAGAAGCGAAATTCAGAAGCAGATATGCTTACACAGAAAGTTGCAGAATTCACTAAGAAGTTGAGTGAAACTGAAGTAGAACGAAATTGTGAGAAAGGCAAAAAGGATATGTTATTTGATAAAATAATTGTTCTTCATAGAAAAATCAAAGAATTAAAAGATTTAATTGCCAAAAGAGGGCAGTCTGAGCAAACTATTTTTCTAAATCAGAACAAGGACACTCGTTTTTACAATTCTAAAGAAGGTCTTGGCATCACAAACCCCCGTAATTTGAAAAAGATCAATTGCCGTCAGCTTTATGATATCAATTACATGGGTTTGGGATTGACCAAGTTGATGCTATTTGTCGGAGCAAAAGAAACTGGTGAAGAAGAAGAGACAAAGAGATCAAATCCTTCTAAAGCTGAAGTTCCGTTCAGTTATGACTCTTTAAACGAAAGCTATGCCACAAAAGAACCTGTTTTTTCACATGATGAGAGTGTTAGTCCTTATCCTTCTGAGACAGAAGTTGTGTCAGATCCAGAACCTCCTTCAACCTCTAATTCTGAAAAAGAGGAAGAACCCTATATCCCTCCACTGATAAGGAAATTTGAAAAACTTCACATCTCTTTAGAAGAACAAAGAAAAGTTTTTGAAGAAGAAAGAAAAAGCTTTGAAAGTGAAAGGGATAGGTTGCTAAATGAATTAACTCTTTTAAAAGAAAGTTCTCGATCCAACACAACTTCTCAATCATCTAGTGATACTGATATTTCTCAGCCCATTCAAGACAAAACTAACTTTTTCAAAAAGGCATCCACTCACTCCAACTCTCCTTTGAAAACAGGAAATGAAGTGAGTAGGAGAGTGGAGAGGAGAAGAGAGTGGAAGCTAAAGAGAGCTGAGATAGCTGAAGGGAAGAAGAAGATGTTTTCTGAAAATAAGAAGTCTTGTTCTAGTGCTGTCTTTTATTCAAACAAATGTCGTTCTAGTTCTTTGTCACTACCATGTAGTTTTGCTTCAGTCTCGTGTCCCGAGCTGAATGAATCTGATTTTACTTCTGATCCATTTTATTTCAATAAGAAGTTGTATGCTCCTGGGTTAGGAAATGCTTGCCTTAATGATTCTCATTATGAACGTGTTGTGAATTCTGTTCGTGAGAGAAAACAGAGAGAGCGCAAACAAAAGAAACAATCTGAGAATAGGGCTGTAGAGGGTATTTATAATTTTCCAAATTTAAAATATCCTCTTAAAGTTCATTCAAAGAAACACTTACAACGACTCTCTAAGGAAGCTATTTTCAAACCTTATCTCACGAACCAGCCATTCACACACAGAAACAATAACCTTGTCTCCTCTGCTCCGAAAATTAAACAACAATGGATTCCAAAAGCTGATCTTGAAAAACAAAGAACATTGTCTGAAAAGGCTGCTGACCTTGGATCACAGCTGAAAGAAAAATTTAAAAAGATATTCTCAATTGATAAGGAAGGACCCATCCTAAGGTGGGTACCTAAAAGTCCTTAATCTGTTTTGCAGGACGGTCATGTATGTCATTTAGATTATGGCTGCTCAACCCACATGACCGGAATAAAAGAGCTGCTGAGCAACTACACAAAGTGCTATGGAGGAAATGTGAGATTTGGAAACAACGCAGCTTCTCCAATCCTAGGATATGGGGATGTCATCTGTGCAAGCGTCACCATAAAGGCTGTTTCATACGTGAAAGGACTGAAACATAATCTGTTAAGAATTGGACAGTTCTGTGATAGTGGCATGGAAGTGAAGTTTATAGCCAGACAATGCTGTGTGCTGGACAGGTTTGGGAAGGTATTATTGACATGCACAAGAACTTCCAACCTGTACACCATTGATCTGAAGAGTGTATAATTACCTTCTTCCATCTGCCTATTGTCCAAAACTTCCTCTGAGCAAAACAATCTATGGCACAGACGTTTGTCCCGTCTCAACTTCAAGTACCTTACCACTCTATCCTCCAAGAAACTTGTGAAAGGGCTACCTCCTTTGAAGACTTCCGATGTCAATCATTGTGATGCCTGTAGACTAGGCAAGATGAAGAGGAGCTCTCACAAGTTAAAACATGTTCCATCTTCCTCTCGACTGCTGCAATTACTCCACATGGATCTATGTGGACCAATGAGAGTCCAAAGCATTAACGGACGCAAATACACACTTGTCATTGTGGACGACTTCTCTCGGTATACATGGACCAAATTTCTGAGGACAAAGGATTAGACAACAGAAACCATCATAACCTTCATCAGAACAATCCAGAATTTTCTGCAAAAGAGTGTGGAGATCATAAGAACAGATAATGGTACCGAGTTCAAGAATCAGTCTCTTGCTGATTTCTATGAAACCCAGGGTATCACACAGCAATTCTCTGCAGCAAAAACACCGCAACAGAACGGAGTCGTTGAAAGAAAGAACAGAACACTTGTTGAAGCAGCACGCACCATGCTTATACAGTCCAAGCTTCCCCATTTCATGTGGGCTGAAGCAATCAATATTGCATGCTTTACTCAGAACAGAACATCAATTCACAAGCGCTTCACCAAGACGCCTTATGAAATTCTCTTCAACAGAACTCCTGACATCTCATTCTTCAGAGTGTTTGGCTGCAAATGCTTCGTTCTAAATGACAGAAATGAAAGAAGCAAGATGGATCCGAAAGCTATCGAGGGAGTATTGATTGGGTACTCTACGCAATCAAAGGCATATCGGGTCTACTTACGTGAACACAGAACAGTCATTGAGAGTGTCAATGTAGCATTCTATGAAATGGCTGACTTTGCTTCTGAACATTTCTTGATAGAACCCACTCTCTCTGCCAATGGAAAGCAACCTGATGGAGCTGAAGCAACAATGCAGACAACAACTGAGCGTGCAGTACTAGACTCCCTGTTTGAACATTTTTATGAGAATTCACGCAGCGCCAGCCCACAATCGCCAACAGAAGCTGAACAATTACCATTCATGCCTGACCTCACTGAAGAAGAAGCTGATTCACCTCCTACATCTGATCAAGAGGATATTGAGGATCATGGCACGACAGCAACACAAGCAACTTCACCAGCACAAGTTCCAAAAATACCAGCTCAAGCAACAACAGAACCAGAATCAATCACATTGCACTCCACTCCTCAACAGACCACATCTACTACTTTTGAGGACCCGGATCACCCCATCATAACTCCAATCCCTCTAACACATGAGCGGAAATGGACAAAGGCGCATCCTGCAGAACAAATTATTGGGGATCCGAGTCGTGGAGTGTGCACAAGAACAGCTACATCAAATGAATGTCTCTTCTCCTGCTTCATTAGCCAATCTAAGCCATCTAAAGTTACAGAAGCCCTGGCAGATCCTGATTGGGTAATTGCAATGCAGGAAGAAATTAATCAGTTTGAACGATTAGACGTGTGGTCCTTGGTGCCTAGACCCCCGAAGAAGACAATCATCGGCACCAAGTGGGTTTTCAAGAATAAGAAGGACGAAGACGGTGTGATCATAAGGAACAAAGCCCGACTGGTTGCAAAAGGATACAATCAACAAGAAGGAATTGACTATGATGAAACCTTTGCACCAGTGGCTAGAATTGAAGCAATCAGGTTGCTCCTTGCTTATGTTGCTCATAAAAGTTTCATTGTCTATCAAATGGATGTGAAGACTGTGTTTCTGAATGGAGAACTGAAAGAAGAAGTTTATGTGGCACAACCTGAAGGGTTTGTTGATCCTGAACGCCCACATTATGTCTACAAGCTGAAGAAAGCCCTGTATGGACTAAAACAGGCATCGAGAGCCTGGTATGATGCACTATCTGACTTCCTTGTGCAATCAGGCTACTCAAAGGGAAAGATAGATCCAACTCTTTTCATCAAGCGGGAGAACAGTGACATCATGCTGATACAAATCTATGTGGATGACATCATATTCGCATCATCAAATCCGAACTTCTGTGAAGAATTGAGCAACTTGATGTGCACCGAGTTCGAAATGAGTATGATGGGAGAGTTGAATTTCTTTCTAGGGCTTCAGATCAAGCAAATGCAAGAAGGAATCTTCATCTGCCAGTCGAAGTACATCCATGAAATGCTCAAAAGATTCAAAATGGACAGCAAGTCAACCATGAAAACCCCTATGTCCCCCACACAAAAGCTCGACTCTGACTCATCCGGGATATCAGTCGATGCTATCAACTATCGGGCTATCATAGGTTCCTTGTTGTACCTGACATCTAGTAGACCGGATATTGTCTTCGCAACCTGCCTGTGCGCTCGCTTTCAAGCAAATCCAAAGGAATCACATCTGAATGCAGTGAAGAGAATCCTAAGATACCTCAAAGGAACAGTCAACTTGGGCCTTTGGTATCCTAAGGAAACAGGTTTTGACCTTGTCGGATACTCAGATGCTGATTTTGCGGGTTGCAAATTAGACAGGAAAAGTACATCCGGTGGTGATCAATTTCTGGGAGAGAAGCTAGTATGCTGGTCCTCCAAGAAGCAGAACTATGTGTCAACTTCTACAGCCGAAGCAGAATACGTTGCGGCTGCTAGTTGTTGTTCACAAATCCTATGGATGAGGACCCAACTCAAGGACTATGGCTTCAAGTTCAACCACATTCCAATCTACAGTGACTCTCAGAGTGCAATCGCCATAACCAGCAACCCTGTTCATCACTCGCGCACCAAACACATCGACTTGCGTTATCACTTCATCAAGGACCATGTGGAGAAAAGAGATATTGACCTGTACTTTGTAAGCACTGAGTTTCAACTGGCTTGTTCACTAAGGCACTGGATGAAATGCGATTCAAGTTTCTAGTATCCAAGTTGGGCATGTTGAACCTCGAGCCTTTGTAATTGTGTATGTCTCATTGGTCTGAATAAAAAGCGTGTGTGTGGTGTGTGTTGCATGTGTTGAGGGGGAGAATATACAAGAGATGAATGCCTTGAGGGGGAGAAAATCAGAAAAGAAATGAAAAAGAGTGTGTGTGTGTGAGAGAGAGAAAATCAGAAAAAGAAGAAAAAGAGTGAGTGAGTGAGTGAGTGAGTGTGTGTGTGAAAAATGAGAAAATCAAAAGAGTGTGTACATTTTTTTTCTCTCTCATACACAATTTGAGGGAGAGTTTTTTCTGTACATAAATAAATTTTTGGACCCCAAAAACATTTTTAAAAAACAAAACTGGGTCCATCACAAACCTCTGGGCCCAATACAGCTCTCTCGCGAGGCCCTGGATTTTCTCGCATATAAGAAGACTTCGAGAACCAGACAATCTATTTTCTCGCATATTACTTCTAAAAAGTTCTCGAAGTCCAGAGCTCTCAACCGTCTTCCTCAAAAACTTTTCTCAAATCATCTTTCTTCACACATTTCGCAATAAAGGTAGTGATTCAGATGAAAAACGATAATAAATGGATTTCGCACTCAATGAATGGTTCTCGACATCCAAACTTGAAAGTAAATGTCTTGTGTTGGAATATCGCGAACTAATTTTGTACTTCTTCTCGAACTGCGAACTTGGAACTCAAAAAGTTATTCATTGAATTTTATCATTATGTTGTGTTAAATTGCAGGTGGTTCTCGACATATCTTCTGAGTACGAACTCGAGAAATCCAATTTCTCGATGTTTAGAACTCGAGAACAACTTCTCGATACTTCAAAACTCGAAATTCAGTTCTCGATATTAAACCTCGAAAACGCTCTTTTCGATGTTTAATACCGAGAACCTACTTCTCGATGTTTGAAATACCGGGAAGAAGTTCTCGATACTAGACTTCGAGAAAGGGTTCTCGATGTTTTAAATCTCGAGGACTTTTCGATACTTTCATATCGAGAACCAAGTTCTCGATATTTGAGTATCGAGAAGAGCTTCTCGGTATTTAAACCTCGAGAACCTACTTCTCGATACTCAAACCTCGAGAAGATGGTTCTCGTGGTTCACATTTAGTATATTTTTCGAGGCCCACCTATACATACCTTATCTGAAAATTGCAAAAACAGAACAAGAACAAAAACAAGTTTTCAAATGAACAATTGTGCTGACCCAATTCTTTCAGTCAATCATGTCAGGAACAAACAGAACTGCACAATCAAGCAATGACGTATACTCAAAGGAGAAGTGGGTCCCACTCTATGACAACAATTTTCAACTGGACCTAAAGCTGTTCAAGTGTCAGGATCCAGTCATCCTGTCAATTCTCCAGAAGCACTACCTCTGGCTGGCATTCAGCGAAGCCAAACCTGTGCCAGAGGTATACTTACAGCAGTTCTGGGGTCTGATGCACACTGTCTCAAAGAAAGATCGGTCAAAGATCATGATGAAGCTGAATGATGTAAGAGTGGTGCTGACACCCTCCACAATAAGGGAGACCTTGAATCTCCCGGTGCTCCAGAACTATGCACCGCTTCCCTCCAATGAAGATCTGATCAAGGACATGAAGAAGCTGGGGTATGAAGGACCGTTACCCCTGATCTCGAACTTCACAATCTCTAACATGCCCCATCCGTGGAAGAGTCTGTTCGGCCTGATCAACAAGTGCCTTTCTCCGAAGCACGCCGGACATGACAAATGCAACAAGCAGATCTTACAAATCTTCCACGGGATCGCCTTCGACATCAAATACGACATGGCTCAGCTCTTCTGGACGGGGCTGATGGATCAAGTGAAGACAAAGGAGAACAACAAGGGAAGCGCTATTCCCTACGCTCGGTGGCTGGCGCTGATGATCCACAATATGATGGAAGCCACCCCTACAATCCCTATGATGGAAGACAAGCATTTCACTGCGCCCAAGCTCAAATACTTCCAAAGAGACAGCAACAAGGCTGAAGCACTGCCTATCCCGGACTCCCTACTTGATCTAGCAAACCCAAGGGACAAGGCAGTCATTGACTACAAAGAGTCGTTGAAGAGAACAGTCCCTATGGTTCAGCAAAACCCAGCTGGACCTTCCCAAGGGACTAAGCCGAGTGAAAGTGAGGGTAAAAAGAAAAAGAGAGGCCAGCCACAGAAACCAGTGGCAACCCGGCCTAATGATGATCAGTCTGCTAACTCTTCCGAGAGGACCCAGACTGCTGAGGGCCACCCTACCAATGCTGAGGACACTGTCGATGAACCATCAAGCCAGGCCCCTTCAAATAAGGCTGGTGGTGAGGCCTCCGATAGCATGGCCAAGGGAAATGAGCGGAATGATGATGATGATGATGATGATGATGATGATGATGATGATGATGATGATGATGATGATGATGATGATGATGATGCAGGCGATGGTGACGATGACATGGAGGGAGTTCTAATCAGCAACAGGAAAAGAGCTGGAAAGAGAGCCATTCCGATAGACTCTGACTCCTCATCGGACAATGAAGAGGCTGCTCACATGTCCCGACCACTTAAGGGCATTGTCATCGGTGAGCAGCGCTCCAAGCAAAAAAGCGACAAATCTGCATCATCCAAGCCTAAGAAGAGGCTGAGAAAGAGAAATGTCGTGGAGGAGGAGCTGGCACTGTACGATGAATGCGACACCTTCCTCACCATAGACCGAACCACGCCCCTAGGTGCAGGAGCTGACCTTGTCAGTTCCCGGATAGAAGTCGCAGCATCTGGTTCAACTGCGCATGCACAGCCATCTCCCATCCACTCTCCATCCTCTCAACAGGGTGGAGTTTCAATAACTCAAGGGGAATTTATACCGACCTCGCTGGTTCCTTCCGAATCAGTTGAGAGACTTAGTGGTCAACAGCCCCGGACCACTACCCCCATTCGTTCTATCACATCGAGTCTAGGTGTCACCATTCCTACATTTTTAAATTTTTCTAGGACACCTACACTATTCACTGCACATACAGGTGCACTCACCCTGAATGCAACGACCGGAGTGCAAACTATGATGGTCGGAAGTCCTGTTACGCCAATAATGCCTCAATCATTGAATGCAGGCCACACATCAGCTATCTTCACTGATGCTGTGACAACAGTTACGACCCCTGTAACTGGAAGCATTATCCCCGAAGACCTTCTCGTACACTTGAACAGCTTTCTAGAGTCTACCATTAAACCATGGGTGCATGAAACAATAACCGCTAGTGCACAAGGCTTTGGAAGCACCCAAGCTGTTCAAGAGGTACCAACTGAACTCCAAACAACACAGCCCCCAACCATTCCCATTCCTATTTCCCAACCTTTAATCTTAGCTAACCAACAACCATCCACCTCCAGGGGAACCCAGGATACCGAACTAGTATCCTTCCCTACAACGACCAAACCCAATCTCAGAACCATACCCCTCGATGATCTTGTAGCTGAGATCTTCGACCGTATCCTAGAGACGGATGAAGGCAACCGCACCCCACTTCAAAAAGCCCTTCTCCATGCTCTAGATACTCAGAACACATGCCGTGACAGTCTTCGTGGCGCTAAACGTTCACATGAGGATCCTGATGATTCAGATTCTCATGAGGGGGAGAACAAGCGTCAACGGATACTTGAGCATGTTGCTTCTACTAGCCAACCCTCACAGCCAAACCAACCCTCCACTTCAACCAATCAACAACCCACTACTTCAGCTAGCCACAAATCTCTAGCCTCTCTTTCTAGCATGGTCGAGCTACATAAAACATTCCGAGGCGCATCTCCTATAGATGTTGACCAAGGACGGAATGGAAGTCCTGATGATGCTACCACGAGTACATCTTTCTACTCAGGCCATCAGCTAGAACCTAGTTCGAAACTGATGACAACGGGCAATCCTGAGGATCCCGGTGCTACTTATCCTCAAACAGGCAAGGACAGGCCGCATGTGACGAAGTATAGAGGTCTGGTTTCTGCGCAAGAACATCATGTTGAGATAATTGAGGATCTCTACAAGTCTCATCAGGATCCGGATACTACACCTGACAGGCTATCATCGCCATAACACCAGCAACAGATCTCCTTTGGCTTCTACAATGACCAAATGCACGATGAACTTGAAGAGATACTTGTGCACAACAAATGGTCTGAACTCTGGACAGATATAGATGAAGCACAACGAAGAGCATACCTCAGAGATCTCCTAGCCAACTGTGCTGCTGATGTGATTCTCTTGGGAAAAGATGAACTCAAGGAAGGAGAAGACTATGAGAAACCTCCCAAAGAGCTCGAATCAATTATCAGACAAACAGCGGCTCAGATGCCCAGAAGTGAAAAGCCCTGGGAGAACATAAATATCAATGCTCCCTTCCAAGAGGAAATCAGGAAGAATATCTGGCGCAGAGAAGATAGAGTCAAGGGACTGGACAAGTTGAAAATCTGCGGCCTAAATCACCTGCGTGGAAAGAATAAGGGCGGACAACTATTCTTGCTAAGTCATCATTACATGGAAAAATAGAGAGAAGTCTGGCAACATGAACTTCAAACTGCAAAGGACTCGGTCTGGGCCATACTCAATGTAGCTGAGACAAACATTCAAGATATCAAACTCTCTGTCTATCATCTACAGCGCTCTGACGGGACGGAATTCACATGCAAAGAAAATGATCTCTATATGCTGAAGATGGATGATATCTATCAGATGTATCTTGATTTCCAAGAAATTCCTCAGAATCATGACAAGATTACCCAAGAAGGGTTCGAGGCACTCAAGCGCTTTATGGTCAGACAACTCAAATTCTTTGCCTCCCATGATCTTCAGATGGCTCTTGAAACAAACATGCCAAAGACAAACCTTACAAGACCAAAGCTGTATGGACCAAAGCTGTGAGAAGCGTTTGTTATTTATTGATGAGATAAACAAGTACTGCGATGGAACACTGAAGATGGTGAAAGAAAAGTTGCAGCCAATCAGAAAAGTGTTTGAAGAAAGACAACAGAAGTATGCAGATGCATCAGATGCCGAACTTCTAGAGTCAAATCGAATAGAGAAAATCTTACAGGCCATCGAAAAGCAACTTGATAGAAGAAGATCACTCAGAAATTATGAGCACGCGTTGAACCTACGCAAACACTACTTCAAAGCTCAGAAGTAAAAATATCCAGCAAGACGACACTTGATCACAAAGGGGGAGATTGTTAGAACTTTTATTGTGAGTCAAGTTTGTCTGTAATGTCTTGTTTAATAAAGTAGACTAGATATACCATTTATGGTATTAGATTAGTAATCATTTTGTAATAAATGGGTTAAAGGGAATAAGGCCCAAAAAGGCCTTGGCCCAAATCCCAAGGTTTACCTAATTCGGTAACCTGTACAACGCCTATAAATATGCGCGTTCTGTACAGGTTCCGATATCGATTAATACACTCTAGCCTTACGCTGCTAAAATTCTTCTCGATATAATAGAAAGACGATTTCCAAAGTTCTCGATATTTCATAAATCATTCTGTGAGATCGTTCTTCTCTGTTATTCGATGATATTCATCTAGTTGTGTGTTAGTCTACAGAAATCTGGGACCAACAGCTAGGCATGAAGGCTAGGTGATGTTTTCCCTCTGTTTATGGTGTATTTTGTCGGAGTTAAATCTGTTTATAATTAATGTTGACGACTAGGTCCATAAAAGTTTAGTTTATCAAAGGCATTTCCCCGTTAACCATTACTGAGATTCTTATCGTAAAGAAAGTAGACTAATTTTGTCTATTATACTCATATTTTGGTATGAGAAGCATTTTTGGAAGAGATTCTCAAAATCCAAACTCAACCAAAATTATAAAATCTCTACTTTGTACAATATGCTCCAACGATGAGAAGTTGTGAGGTGCATATAATAGATAAATAAATGAGGTAAAATGTTTGCAATCTCCAGTTTGAACAAAAAAAACTAACATGTATATATACCATATCTTGTTTGTGCCTTGTTCTGAAATGAAAAGTGTTCATCTCCATAAAGTCCGCATTGATAGGGTGGGCTAACTGCCAAAGTAAAAGTTCATATAAAGTGTTTGTGCCTTGTTCCGAATAAAGATCATATCCGGGGTGTGTAAGTCCCACACGAATAAAGGTTATATTTGAGGTGTGCAAGCCCTACGCGAATTAAGATTATATTCGGGGTGTGTAAGCCCTAAACGAATAAAAGTATTATGTTGGGTGTGTAAGCACAAAACGAATAAAGGTATTATATTGGTGTGTAAGCCCAAAACGAATGAATACAACCGTAGGGTGTAAGTTCAATATGGATGAGTACAAAGGATAAAACGTGTAACCCTTCAATGGAATGAGGTATAGACTATGGGGGGTGCAACCCTCTCAAAGGTTGCTATATGCAAGTATATATATAGGCCAAGGGCTATACAAGGGGAATTATTTTGAAATAAAAACGGACCTACGGGTCGGCTATTTGACTTGGTATATATATATTCTATACATGTGATTTGAAATGGGGTAGCTATAGGTTGTGGCCATAATCTAGTATCACCCTATGTTGAGGGTCTTGTGTTTCGAACATGGATTATATGTCGTATAGTTGTCATTGTACTTTTCAAATGCTTCAAAGTACTGACGTCTTCTTCACGGGGAATAATAAAGTAAAAACTGTGTGGTTGAGGTTTGTGCAGATGAGAGAGATAACAATCACAAAATAATTGATTAAAAGGGAAAGTGACAAAGTTATTTGGGACATCCCAAAAAGGAAAGATGACATAGTTTTAAAGGACAGAGGGACTATTTGTTTTTTGGTGCGTATTTTGAAATGTTTCACTTATGATTGTTTATGGATGTACTTGTGCGAATGGTATTTATGTACGCCTTGCATGGTTTGAGTGAGGTAGGCTGTGGTTGCCTTAACCAGATTGTGCGGCGGTTGTTAGCGTGTCCACCCAGTCTGGGGCGTGACAAAATACATCCCCTTGCTCTAAGCGTCATTTGAACAACCAAGAAAAGAGAGGAGCTCTAGGAAAACCTCCCACAAAGCTCAAGCTCAGAAGAAGCAAGAAGAAAGAAAACCCAACACAAAAAGGCTAAGAATGGAGGTAAGAACTTACGAGACTCTCGACAGCAGTAACACTAAACATAAGACCCCAAATGGACCTTACCTTCCTACGGGATGATGGGTATGAGTCAAGGGGCCGGATTAGGGATGGACCCGGGCCGGGCCGGTTCCGGTTCCGGGCCGGGCCCGGGCGGGCTTTTTTTCGGGTTACATGGGCCCGGAACCGGCCCGGGTTGATACCGGGTCCGGGCCTAACCGGGCCGGGCCGGGCCCGGTTCAATGTTTTTTTTTTTTTTACTTTCTTGTTATCTCCCTACCCCCCCCCCCCCCTCACCCCCACGCCCCAAACCTCCCTAAAACACCCAGCCCTACCCTAGGAAAAGAAAAAAAATTGAAAAAACCAAAAAAAAAATGAACCGGGCCCAGCCCGAACCGCCCGGGCCGGTTCAACAAAAATAGGACCCGGAACCGGCCCGCCCGACCCGCCAACACGGGCTAAAAGCCCGGAACCGGCCAACCGGGCCCGGTCCGGTCCGGGCCCGCACAGTAGCGGGCCGGTCCGGTTCCGGGCCGGTTCGGCCCGGCCCAGTCCATCCCTAGGCCGGATGTTGGGCACCGGCCCGATAAAGCCTCCGACAGCGATGACAAGTCCCGTATGATTGATGAGACATACGGGTTGTATCGTACGAACGATGAGTGGAATAAAATGTTAGGGGCCCGCGTGCCGACAAATTAATAGTTAACTTATTATAAAGATAATAAGGGGTAAAAGATGAATTCTCATTTATGTCAGGGTATCACTCTATTTGAGGGTCTTAGGATTTGAAACATTGATTATGTTAAGTATAGTTGTCATTGTACTTTTCAAATGCTTCAAAGTACTGATCTCTTCTTCGCAGGGGAGGCCACCTCACAGTTTCAGGTAGAATTTGAGCTTGCTACCAGTGCTCGTTACTTCGGGAGGATCTAGGAGGGAAGACTTGGTTCGTGCTTCCTTCGTTTCGGATTGTACGGCGGAATATGTTGGACTATGGTTGACTATTCGGATTGTACGGTGGTTGTTGACATGTCCGAGTAGATCCAGGACGTGACATAAATAGTGACCGTCTCTAGGACATACATACTATCCATCATGTATCCTCAATGTGGGTGAGGTGCCCCATCTATCTATAATGTATGATATATGTACATTATACAACTGTTAAAGTTTGATCTAACCGGTTTGTTCTGATATGGTTGGGAGGGAAAGTAGACTAAATAAACACGTGCTTAATGTGAAATATGATGCACCACTACATAGAAGTTTGGGATAATGTAGTAGATTGTGGCGACGTACATATTGTGATATGTGGCTAACAGAGATCATGCATGCATATAAAGGGAAATGCAAGATGTATTGATTATGATTTGATACAGGTAGCGCGCAGCAATGAAATATACATACATTGTTAAGTAGGTGGGTTGGGGAGTGAAAGATTGAGCATGAAGGGTTTGAGATCCTGATGAACAGCGGCCCTATCAAGCGCGGTGCGGCCATCAGCATCTTTGACGGTGTAATCGGCGCCGGCTGTGAGTAGCTCTTGGACTTTGGGCTGGTCTCCCTCTGAAGCAGCCAGAAGTAGCAAAACATCGACGGGGTGGATATCCTGCTTCAACAGAGCCTCCATCTTGTCATAAGACCCCTCCACGGCTAGCATGCCCATATAGTTGAAGTACTGCGGCATTACATCACAAGTGCATTCTAATTTATTTAATTAACAATAGATCACAACAATGCAATAGGTAGCTAATGATCGATCGATCGATCAGTTGCGGATCGGAATTACTTAATGATGGATCGATCGATCAGATCCGGAGTACAGTTACCTGTTCAACATCATCTCGATCAAAGTCGTCTCGCGACTGCCTCCTGCTACTTTTTCCGCCGCCGCCGAATCTGAACCAGCAACTTATTCTGGTATCATCTCGATCGATCGATGAGGGGCCGCCGCACCTTCCCCCCCAAAACTCTGTTTTGAGCTTCGCGCACCTCAATGAACAAGACGAAGAAGAAGAAGAAGGTATTAGCCGATGATGATGGATAATCATAGCGGCAGCAGCAGCCGATGATGAAATTGAGGCCGCCATGCTTCCGTCCCTTTCACGCTCATTCGCTCACTCTCTTCTCGATCTTATCCTATCCCTCACCCACACAATACAACCCCGCCGTCTAGGTGAAATTTGGCTCCGTACAATTATAATATTTGGCATAAAATGAAACGGATCTCCTAGGGATGGCAACGGGTAGATCGGGGACGATTTTATATATAAACAGTACCCGTCCCGTTTGGTGATTCACCTGCCCGGCTGCCCCATAACCGCCCCATTATCCAATGGGTAATTTTTACCCAAATCATAACCGCCCCAACGGGTAACGGTTATAATCGCGGGTAATCACTTTATTAAATGAGTCATTGATATTTTAATAAAAAATAATATTTTAAAAGGCGAAAAATGTCATCACCAAGACGACGCTAGACTCAGACGCCACTTTAAATCTTCATATATCTATAAGACGAGAAATAAGACAACCTAAATTAATTTGAACCTAAAAATACTTAATCTGAAAAGTAATTAATCACAAAAAATCATATATGAAATAATAATCAAACAAGACTATTAAGTTCTATTGAGAACTTTCATTCTTACACTATAGTTAGTACATCTATTATTCATATATACACACAATGAACATTAAAAATCTCATCTTTTATTAGTTGTTGGACAAATAATGATAAGAATGTAATAATAAAAATATAACTAAAAATAAACGGGGCGGGTACAGGGCGGGTAATGGGGCGGGCATGCATAAAACCGTAACCGCCCTGTTACCCGTAAAAACAAAACGGGTATTCCCCGTCCCGTAACCATTACCCCGGTCAATGCGGTTTTCCCCATTTTGACCAGTGCGGTTCGGTGCGGGTATCCATCGGATCGGTCACAATTGTCATCTCTAATCTCCTTCGCCCACCGCTAAACTTCCTAGGCGCACCCATTTTTTCCTCTTTTAAAATTGAAGTATTGAACTCACTCGCTTGTAGTACATAGCTCACCGAACTCAATGCTACTAGATACTCCCTTTGTTCCGAAAAGATCGACCAAATATCCTCTTTTGGATATCCCAAAATATTTGTCATTTTCATTTAAAGTAAGGAATATGTGGCTAAAGTTAATTTTCTCTTCTCTGCACAAATTTCAACCACACAGTTTTTACTTTATTAATCCACATGAAAGTTGATTTTGGTCAACCTTTTCGGGACATAGAGAGTACTAGATAGCACACCGAACTCCTTTTATTGTTTTTAAATTAAAATACTCTATTGGTCTTTACATTTCCTTAAGTTTTGTTTAATTCTATAATATATTTTTTGGATGAAGGGGGCTTATATTAGAATAAAAGCATTCAGCAAGGGTCTAAAATAACAAGAGTACCACCGATAACCATCTGCCCTTGGCCAGACTTTGAGTTAACCACCTTTAAGAAAGCAGTATAACTTGTTGATCCTAAACTGGGCATAATTGAGTCAACAATGGTTACTGCAGAACTCTCATCACCCAAACCTAATGCAAGAGTCTTACAAAATCAAACAAAACAAAAACCAAAAACAACAGTCTTAATGTGGAACGAAACATGAAAAACAACAAGAAAAAAACATCAAAGTTGAAATTCTTCAGCCACAACCTCACGCACACGACAGACTCGCCTCCTCCCCGTTTTTTGCTTTGCCCAGCGTCATCTCCTCTCCTGAATTCTCCTCCTGTGCCGGATCCTTCCAGACTCTCCTGCGCTTCTAATCAGCCGAGACCTCCCCTGCACTGCTTCTATCCTCATCCTTTGTGCCGCTATTCTCTGTCTCAGCTGTATTCCCCTGCGCCCTTGCCTCATAATGCCTTCATCTTCTTGATGAACCCTCCTTTGATAACTCGGACCCCCTGTTTATCCACCAACCACTTACTACCCCTTGTGGGGCCAGTCTTACCCCCTCCACCTGCTCTAAGTTCGGCACTAAAAGTTTTTTCCAGAGCAATATCTTCCACATATTTCAAAGGGCAAAACTTCTAGAGTGTCCCATTATTCCACAGATGAAACAAAAATTCAATAATTTCTCGTACTTGAAATCTACCTAGTGTCCTTCACCCCCCCCCCCCCCCCCCCCCCCCGTCAAAGTAGATCCCTTTTTGAGGGATCTTCTCACATCCATCTTCACCCTAACTCTCAGGTATGAATGCCATTTTCCTTAAAATAGCTCTCATCAAATGTAATAAATTCCCCAATATAATTACCCACTCTTCTAGCAGTGCCTACATTCATAAATTTATACGGAACATTGTGCACTTGCACCCAAAACTCTGTCTCAAACAAATTCATCTTATGAGGGATATCATTAGGACCGGCCGCCTTTAACAATAACAAATTCCTCTCAAATAACCAAGGACCATCCTCCATAACACGATTCATATCAACTGTATGATAAAAAGTGAATAAATACCTCTTTTCATCAATTTCTTGTACTGACATTCCTTTCCCTGGTCTCCAGGTTGAGGCAAACAAGTCCTGCACAGCTTGAATTCTCACCTTCCGATCCGTAAGGATTACGCCCACCACCGGATATTCCGTCTCTTTACCAGCGGGATCAAGAACATCTTCCTCTTCATCATCAAATTTGAGATTGTTATTATTTTCTTCCAGAGCCATCCTTTTGTATTGTTCCAGCACCTCCTCCATAAGTTAGAAAAAAAAACAACCTTGCTCCCGCTGACCGAATTGCCGGACCCGCACCTCTCGATGCAGTAGCCGATCAAAGCCAATACCGCACCAACCCTTCGAAGACTGCCAAGTAACAAACGACCCTACCCCAGCAACCCAAAACTCCTCTCCTCTTCCCTGCCTTGCAGCTGCGGCCGAGCGGCGAAGAAGATCGGGAAAAGCAAAGATTACACTAGAGACGGCTGAAACCGAACCCTAGAGAGAGACCAATGTTTAATTCTATAAAATAGAAAACGTAATTTAGCAATTAAAAACTTCTTTTTCTTAAAGTGTTCTAGCTTTTTTATTTGTTTTTAGTTTGTTATAAAAAATATATCAAAATTTACAACTTTTTATATGACACCAATATTACATACAAAATAAAAAATATAAATCTTCACACTCATTTTTTGAAGTGTTACTCTTTTGTCTCAATATTATTTCATGTTTGGACTTTGCACCCGGATTATGGAAATGAGAATGGGAAATGTGAGGCTTAAAGTTATGGAGAATAGATAGAAAGTGGGGACAAACGCTATGAACTACAAATTCTTTACTAAAAGGGAAAAATATGTTTATTTTGGAACGAACGAAAAAGGAAAAAATGAAGATAATATTGGGATGGATGGAGTATAACTTTTTTATTTGTACTCCTGTTGTTATAAAATATGTATAAAAAATTATAAAATTAACACTACAAAAAAAAGGCGGGATTGACACGGAATTTGGCACGGACTTATCAATATTCCGTGCCAAATAGCTCATGCCAAAGTGTTTTTGGCACGGATTTGGCGTATCCCTGCCAAAATCCCTGTCAATCCCGTGTTTTTTTGTAGTGTAACATGGCACTAATATGGAGCATATGACATGAATATTACCTATATAAGAGTATAAAATTAATTTTATTAGTTTGTGAAATTTAGAGTCATTTTTTATTGTGCACACTATTTATCTTAGTGATGGACTGATGGCTTAGAATTTGTGTTCTTTTATTCTAAGCTAACATTTCAGATTAATACTACGTAGTATTTATTTGTTTATTTTTTATATTTAGAATATTGATGTCATATGAAAGATAATAAAAAGTTATGAATTTAGATATATTTTTTATGCAAAAAATTAAACAAATTGAGTCAGAAATTAACTTCGTTAATCTATTATTTTTGACTATTAAAAAGAAAATATACATTTAAAGTACATTCGTTCCATATGATATATAGGTATAAAAAGTTATAGCTTTTATAAAATATAATAATTTGCCACATGGCACCAAACTAATGGATAGAGAGGAATTTAAAAAAAAATTGCCAGTGGGTAGGTTCTGAAGCTCCAAAATTCTACTACCTGTGTGGCAATTTCAATCAAAATTGAAAAAGGTTAAATTTGTCTACCGAGAGTTACATTAAGTAATATAGCCGGTGCGCGGAGAAACATCCAAATGAAATATATTCAATACAATATACTGATGATTACGAAGTAGTGCACAAATTTTATAGCCCCACAAAATATTGAGTATCACGTAATATAAATATAATTTGAAAACACAAGGTTCTTGGTTTCAATGTTCGCTCTTCTATCATGATTGGAATGTGATTTTTTAATGATCATGGATTGATTATTCTTGACATAATCGCATAAAGTTGATCATAACTAAAACATGTTTACCGATTGTCTTTGACTTTTATTTACTTTCATGACATAGTAAGTCATGTTTGGGTATTACAACATCAAGAATTGAGTTGTGAGCTAACAAATGAACGTGTTAAGTAGTGCATGAGAATTAATACCATTTGAATATATTAGTTGAAGCCTGAAGGAAAATTATTTATAATGACCAAGTAAAATGGTGTCTATGTATCTATACGAATTGCATTATTTTGACGAATTGCTTGTGTAAATCTGCAAAACATGGGAGTGCAAATATGTAAAAGTGCGTAAATGTCATTCTTAAACTACACTTGAATATAATCGTGTAGAGCACAACTGAGTTATCAAAACACGCACATGGAAGGAAATTGGGTTGAAGCTTGGAGGAAGCTTTAGTGGAGGGTGTGACAAAGGTGACTCCTTGGTCTGTTAAGTTGAAGCTTCCTTTGTCATTCTTTTATGTGGATGAAACTTCATTGATGTTGCTTGCAATTGGATTATTCAGTTCGCTTGTACTTGGATGTCCTGTAAATTGAATTCTTCATAGTTGTACAAAAATTTGAATGGATAAACACTATTATTATAACTAATGCAATTGGAAAGAATAAATATATTCCAAACACCAGCATTTTATTTTATATAAAAATTAATGAAGTTATGCATCCATTTTTGTGTTAAAAGGGCTAGACTTATTCTTATTTTTCATTGATATCCTTTTTTTGTAAACACACTCACACATAAACACACTCATATGTGTTCTGTAAATTCAACATTCTTGGACTGGGATGAGATTTGAAATGATTCAAGTTGCTAGGTTGACAATACTTGGAGATTAATTGTGGGAAATTTTGAAATTGAATACCAAAAATGTCTCAATTCTGTCATTAAACACTCTTACTTTTGGAACCTCCTTGCACACAAATATAACCCGTTGTTGACATTCGATGAATATCATTTAATAATTTCTAAAATAGAATTTTCTTATTTTTGGAACCTCCTTGCACACAAACATAACCGTTGTTGCCATTCGATGAATAACATTTAATAATTTCTAAAACAGAATTTAATTTAAGAATTTTCCTAAATTAAGGGACAATTGGACAAATATAGTGCATATTTTTTTAACGATGAGCAGATCTCTCGTCAGCTTTTACACTCAACAAATCTTCTCAATGGACTTATTTACTCCACCTAGAGGTGGGCATATCAGTTCACATTTATCGATTTTTATTTTGGCTCAATATAAAACGAACTAGAAAAATAATTGTCAAAGATTAGTAATAGTACTCCTCCTCGTTAAAATTGTTCCATTTTATCTTTTCGAGAAATCCTACTAAGTTTGTCTCATACCAAATTTGATATAGTTTGTATGGTTCTAAATTACTTTTACTTTATTCTTATTTTATCAATCCAATATCAATCGCATCAATTCACTTTTCTTAAATTATTTTGTCCTAGTGTTAGTGGGACTAATGTAGTACTACTTAAAGATTACATTAGCTCTATATAGTGACTCCTATCATGTGCGGGACTAGTAAATGACCATTGTTTAGCAAGGATGTTTTCTTTTGAATTGTTTTTAGTCCCAAACCAGACCAAATCAGACTAGACCAGACCAAACAAGAATCATGTAGTTATAAAATGCACAGAGACCAGGCATTTACCAAACCAGACTAGATCAGTTCAGACTAGACCAGACCACAACTCATTCCAAAAGAAAACATCTTAATTCAACTCATTCTTAAACAATATGACAGCTCACCAAACCTTGAGTTTGGTGTTAAGAACAAGTCAGCATTAATTACAATACCAATATTAGAATTTGCCATGTATTCGTGTAATAACAGCATGGAACAATGAACAATGTTTTTATTTGGACTCAAATTTTCTGTTTAAGTTTGATACAAACTACTTTGGTTTGGTAAATGTTTGATCTATGTGTATTTTATAACTACGTATATCAGCTGGTCGGATCTGTTTAAGTGTGGTCTTGTCTGAAAACAGTCTAAGTAAACACATCATAATAAGAAAATGTTTACTTATATGTGTGAAATGAATATATATATATATGTATATATATAGATAATCATAATAATCATAATAATAATATTAATAAGAAGATCAGAAGAATTACTTAAAGTTTCCTTTGAATTTATTATTATACCTGTTTTGGTGAAGGGATTCATTATGATATCGTATCACCCAAAGATTCCCAAGACCTGTGCTTATTTATTTAAGGACTGAAAGATTGGTTTGTCTGTTCATTCTTTTTCGCTAGTCTTTTCCAGAGCTGTAAAATTGAATAAATTAGAGCAGGAATGATGGTGTGTCTCTTTCTGTGTTTGTTCTAAGACTAAAGAATTGTTTGGTTCTTCATTACTGTATTCTTATTCTCTTGCCATTACCTTGATATCATTAGTTCTTCTGCCTAAATCATAATCCAAGATGGGAGTGAAAAGAATTAATGAAGAAAACTGCATTTTTTCTATTTTGCAATCATTGGTTGTTTTTAAAATTAAAGAAAATGGCGTGTACTCCCTTCCCTTAGCTTACTTATTACTATGACTTTAATCTAAATGTTAGGGCCAGAAAGAGAACAAAAGAATTGAAGTAAAGGGAAGGGTAAATGAATAGACGAGAGAAGCAATATGAGGATTAGCTATCAAACTGTACGTGTTTAATTATAAAGTGGAGTCTTTGATGGGTATGCATGGAAGGGTGAGAAATCTGAAGTAGCAGAGACGTATCATGAACTGTGCAGGTGCAGGGTGATGATGATGAAAGGTCAAAACGAGAAATTGACATCGATCGATGGCTTCCGATTAGTTCATCCAGAAACGCAAAATGGTGGTACAGTGCATTCCACAATGTCACAGCTATGGTGGGAGCTGGTGTTCTCAGCCTTCCTTATGCCATGTCGCACCTAGGATGGTAACATAATACCCCCCCCCCCCCCGACTCCCTTTATCTCTACATACCCTTTTCACTCCAAACCATGCATGCTTCACTTTCTGTAGGGGACCGGGTGTGGCTGTGTTGATCATATCATGGGCAGTGACTCTATACACTTTATGGCAGATGGTTGAGATGCATGAAATGATACCTGGGAAGCGCTTTGATAGATACCATGAGTTAGGACAGCAAGCCTTTGGAGAAAAGCTTGGGCTTTGGATTGTAGTGCCCCAACAGGTAGTGGTTGAAGTCGGAGTGGACATTGTCTACATGGTGACAGGGGGGAAATCACTCAAGAAAGTGCATGACTTGGTCTGTAAAGACTGCAAAGATATGAAGCTCACTTACTTCGTTATGATTTTTGCCTCTGCTCACTTCGTGCTTGCCCACCTCCCCAACTTCAACTCCATTTCGGGTGTGTCTTTAGCTGCAGCCATCATGTCACTGAGGTAGGTAATCATCAAATCATGAAAACAATAAGGGTATGTACGGTTCTTGGAACCGGGAAAATACTCGGGAACTTTATTTTGTACGTATGCGATCAAATATCTTTTACATGTCTAATTAAATTTCTGGTCTAATAGTTACTCTACTATTGCCTGGGGGACTGCCGTCAGCAAAGGCGTGCAACCAGATGTCAGTTATGGCTCTGTAGCTACTACCGCATCAGGGTCAGTTTTCAGCTTCTTCGGTGCCTTGGGAGATGTGGCATTTGCATATGCAGGCCACAATGTCGTGCTGGAGATTCAGGCCACCATCCCTTCGACCCCCGGGAAGCCTTCCAAGGGTCCTATGTGGAGGGGAGTTCTAGTAGCGTACCTAGTTGTTGCTATTTGCTACTTCCCGGTTGCTCTTATAGGGTATTGGATGTTTGGAAATGCAGTGGAGGACAATATTCTCATCTCCCTCGAGAAACCTACTTGGCTCATAGCAGTGGCTAATATGTTTGTCGTGGTGCATGTGATTGGTAGCTATCAGGTGAGACGCCCAAACATTTTTATCTATCTAATTGCAAGTATGTCATTTGATTTGATTTTGTCTGTATAGATATATGCAATGCCAATTTTTGACATGGTAGAGACATTCCTTGTCAAGAAACTAATGTTTCGGCCGAGTTGGTACCTGCGCTTCATTGTTAGGAACACTTATGTGGGTAAGTGACTGAATGAACCCTTCCGGCCTCAGATTCTATTGCATGTTGTATATATGATATTCTGCACATCTTGAGTGCAATGTGTGGTTGAGAAGAAGAGGGAAAGAAGAAAGATGTGAGATACACAGTATATATGGTATTTCAATCACATTATGTGCTGTTTGGAGGTGGAGTTTAGAAAAGGAAACGTGAAACAAATGCTTTGCATGTCCGAGGGGAGAAAGATCAAGTTTGACTCTCTTTCCTATGCTAAACAAGATAAAATCCCCCCCCCATCTGTTTTTTTTTTGCTTCCTTTGTTTCTTTCTTCATAATTCTACTCCACCAGACATGCTAGAAGAATACCAGAAGAGTACCAATTCAGTAACTATAACCAATGCCCTAAAATCGCTGATGCGTGACCATATTTCTATGATATTGATTGCAGCACTCATTTTCCATCATTTGCAATGGAGCCAAAGACTCACTATTTTTGGTTTTGGAATATGATGGAATAAAGTAAAATGGTTCACTAAACTGTATGCGCTTCTTTGTTATGAAGCAGCAGTCGGTTCATGCAATTTTTGACGTGCTTTTCACTATGAGTCATCCGGAAACAGTCTCTCTGTGTTTCAGTACAGGGGTAAGACTGCGTACATCCGACCCCCCTTACCCCACCGTAGGTGGGAACCTTTGCGGCACTGGGGTAATGATGATGATGATGATTGATTGCAGCACTCACCATGTTCATTGCTATTTGCATCCCTTTCTTTGGAGGGCTTCTTGGATTCTTTGGAGGATTTGCTTTCGCCCCAACAACATACTTTGTAAGCAAAAACAAACAAATCTATTTGCACTTGTATGCACACATATACCCATAGCAGATACAAACATGAGTATCGTCTAAATAATTGCAGCTCCCTTGCATCATGTGGCTTATTATCTACAGACCAAAGAAGTTCAGTCTCTCTTGGTTCATCAACTGGGTATGCATGTTACCTCCCTTAGCTATGTCTCATCCATCAAGTTATACCAGGCCACTTGTGATCATGTGGTCTAACTTTACCTGTGGTTTCAGATTTGCATTATACTTGGAGTAGCTTTAATGATTTTGGCGCCTATTGGAGCACTAAGAGCTATAGTGTTGGAGGCCAAGAGCTACAAGTTCTTCTCTTAAACTGAATGAATTGTGTTCGAAAGGATTTAGACGGTTAAAAAAGAACTCGATTGGCTGTCCCAGCAAGTGTTTCCTGAATTCCTACATTATTAGTTTCTTAAGAAATGCATATGTGCTCAACCCCAGCATTAGTGCATTTTGGTTGCATTAATCAAATCAGATGATAAGTAGACGTTCTCAATAGCTAGCAAAACGTGTATTATTAAAAAAAATCAAAAAAAAAATTAAAAAAAAAAGTGGATTTTCATTGCTACGCCTCACACAGGGTACCTAAAACGTGTGATAAACCCCAATTTTCCCTTAAACCTCTCTACCTCGTTTCCGATTCCGAAAAACACTAGTAGTAATCTCGATTATTGTAGAAACTGCTAAAAAGAAACTTCTCTGCATTGTGCTCACTGAGACTCTGCATTGTGCTCACTGAGAAAAATGCATTACTAGTTAAACCCTCATGTACAAATTAATAAATTGTTGCCTAAATAGAGCAAGTTGAAATGAAATTGCTTGATATTATTTTTTATAGAATACAAGACAAAAGTCAATTGATATGAAATGAAGCTTTGTACTATCATCCTGAAATAAAGTTTAAGTTTATTTGAGGATAAAGTTAACTTTTCCCTTATAATATTCAATGAAGGGAAACGTAGCTTCATGTTTTGAAACTATCGGGGAACTGCATAACAGGATGAGAGCACAGCATTTTGGCAACAATTATTTCCATAAACTTTTGTCATGGTATGGTGTCTAGAGACAAAAGGGCTTATACATGGATTTGTGCCATACGTGATAAAAAATAATCCGTTGGATTTAGCGCTAGGGTTTTGATTTTAATACTATGATCATCACCGAAAACGTACAAATCGGAGTTGGTATATATTCAGATTAAAGGTACTGAGTTACCTCTACTCATTATAGAAATGGTTACAAGCTAGCTAGGATCGGTGTCTTCCCATACCTTTTTAAAACAGCTACCAAAGGCGGGCAAAGAGAATTACAGACCTGCCTCCAAAAAATTTAAGGAGTCATACGTGACTCTCTTATGGAGTCACATGGGCTATTGTGGCACCATCCCCACCATACATTATTTTATGGTCTCCACTAAAATAATGTATGGTGGGGATGGTGCCACAATAACGCATGTGACTGAGTAACATGTGGCTCATTAAAATTACTCGACCTACCTCTTCTATTTTTTACTTGGCCTCTTCCAAGGTATTGTGTACTGTGTTTTGTCAGCCAGTAGCAATTTTGGTATGTGAGCAGTGCGGTAGTGGGTCTTACTTGTTGACCAATAGTTAACGCATTATTAATTACTGTTTGCTCATGTGGAATGTTCACCGTAGGATTGGCAACACCATTGAGACTTTTGTCCACGTTTTCTAAATATAGATTGATTTTGGGTTACTATTAACATAAATGTGGCTTTGACTGTGTTAAGACATGGGATTCCATTCTACTAAAAGGTCAACCTGATAGGAAGAGTAGCTCAAAGCCTTATATAGTGTTTAATTGTTTTATAGCTTTCCGGTGTGGGTCAAATGTTTCAACACGCCCCCTCAGCCCGAACCGGGCTGGACAATATCGGGGTGTATAAACGGGCCAAACAAACTCTTAACAAGCTACCCTTAATCATGGGTGCTAAACAAGCTGTTAAACCACAACCGGAATTGGCTCTGATACCATGTTAAGACATGAGGTTCCATCCTAAAAGGTCAACCTGATAGGAGGAGTAGCCCAAAACTTTATATAGTGTTTAATTGTTTTATAGCTTTCCAGTGTGAGACAAATGTTTCAACAGACTGAGATACGACAAGGAGACAATTGGATATCGGCGGATTTTCGGTATGAAAGATTATACCAAATTTATGCTGCTTGTGTGGGATACTTAGCCACTGAGACCTCTTTTGTCCTTCTAATTCACTCAATGCTCCTTGAATTACAGAGAAACCATATGGGTCATGACTACGTGTTGATACGAGATGAGGAGGTGTGCATTCAGGAAACAGGTGGTTGATCCCTAGTGGCAATAGGCCTAGTGATAGGCGGGAGGATGGGGAGAGCTTGTACCTCCGACAGGGTTATGGTTGAAGCCTTGATCTCGAAGGGCAAGGAAGTGGCTTTTCGGCAGGAAGAATCAAGGAGCGTCATTGAAATGGTTAGTGAAGAAGGCACCCAAGCTACCATGAATGTTGATGACGTGGATCCAAAAACTTGTAAGTTGCAGTGATTGTGGATCTGTGTGATGAGGAAGATGGACAGGGAGGAGGGAAGCTACCCCTAGTTCCTTTGGCGGGGGCTTGTCAACCCGCACTTTCCTTGTAAGTGGCTGGAAAAAATGGAACTCGTCATTCTTATTTTTATTCTCTTTCCCATGACTCTTTAGTAACATTTATCGTTCATTCTAGTAGCAGATGCAACATTGTTTCTAGTGGAGTCTACCATCTTGTGGGGTTAGTGAGTTGGATCGCCTTTAAGCGATCTTTCAACTCTGTGTCTCATCCCAGTGTAACCTTTAATTTGGTGGCTTTGTATCTGGTTTTCAATTTTAATATGAATTAAGTTATCTTAATTAATAAGACGGTCTACCAATTGAGCTAATAGACTAAAAATTCAGCTCTACCAATAGAGCTAATAGACTAAAAATTATTATTCAATTGAGCGAATAGACTAAAAATTATTATTCAAAATGATTTAAAATTCAGTTATATATAAATGAAAAAGGCTTGATAAGACGGTCTTTTTCCATCTTCTTGGACCAAATATGTGGGGAAAGGCAACTTTGTTAGCCGCATTTGTGCAATTTAGTGATATGGATAAAATTCTCGAGAACTGGATATTGACTTTCCCACTAAACGTGTAACACCGCCCCCAAGAAATTGTACTTTATCAAATTGTGTATTGAACCCTGAGAAATGAATAAACGCATGTTTGTCTACGTGGCACGGATGCGGTCCGGGGCGTGACAAAACGGTCTCCTGCCACTTAATTTAGTAGAGCTTGTTGATCCATTTACTATGACTACACATCAATATATGTACTTTATGTATGTTATGCAAAGATAATGGTTACAGTTTGATTATGGGTTATTAATTCATTCATAACATAAAGCACAAATTTGCAATCACATTACCCAAATGCGAGCTAGATCTCTCATATCATCATTTGGATATTGAGAGTCAAGGGTACTTTGTAACACAAACATGATGTTTTGGAATATTGACACTCATGAGTCATGACACCCATTTTAGATTGAAAATTAAAAACCAGAAACGTTTTTTTCTTTTCGAAATTAAGGTACGGAGTATTAAATTCTGTTTGGCATTTTAAAGAATCCTAAAAAGAGCCGCCTCCTTGGCGTTTGTCCGGCCACGATCGTTCGGTCGTGGTGCGAGGTTGGATTTTTCGTCTGTTAGTTGCTGATCTCGGCATAACAGATTGTTTTTTGTTTCTGTTTTGGGAATTGACCTGATCGTTTTGGGATCTGTCTTGGTTGATTCGAGCAAGGCATTCGTTGGTTGCTTTATTTGTGTCCGAGGTGTTCGGTCTCGACGATGAGCAGGTTCGGAGTTTCTGGCAGAAGGTTAGAGCATCAGTTTTACATGGATAGCTTCGTGGACAAATACAAGAAGATGGCGAATGGGGCAGAGGAAGAAGAACTGGATCTAGATGAAGTTGATGTTGAGGTTGTGGCGGATGAGCGACGGGCGCGTCCCCCTCCTGAGCCGCCGCCATGGAGTGCAAGTAAACCTAGGGTTTTGAAGAAGACTTATGTTATTTCTTTTGTTTGTTTTTCCAGTGATTTTTATGCCTGTTTTGTTATTTGTTTTGCCTTTATTGTTCCTGTTTGTAAAACGTTGATTTTGGATATGGAGGATGAGAGGAATATGGTGACCGTGTTTGGTTTTTGGTTTCCCTTTTATGGATCGGCGAATTATATTGCTACAACGATTAATTCCGAGTCTAGTTCGTGGGATAACGGTTATCGGATTTCTTTTTGTCTTTTGACTCATACTCTGAATTATATTGGTTATTAATAAAAGCCGAATTCATGAAGCATAGGATTTTTAACTTTTCATTATCAGTAGCACTAAATTGAATAGGAGTAATCACTGAACATCGAAATTCACGAATGTTTGCTATCCTCAGGCTTAATGTGGACTGATAAGTATAAACTTGGGGATGAAGAATGAAAAATTAAGGGCTAAACATTGCGACGCCTCTCCTCTCTTGTTTCCTTGTTGTCGCCATTCAAGAAACATATTGAATTCCAATATAATCAAGAAATAATTCCAACATTGACAAATTCAATACTTAGGCTTTGTTTGCAACTACTTGTGCTTAAATAAAAGCACTTTTTGATAATAATAAAAAAGGTGATTAGTAATAAAAGTTGGTAGTGTTTGGTAAAATAAGTGTTTTTTTGTGTAATAGAAAAAGTAAAAAGTAGATTCTACACGGAAGCCGAGAAAGTAAAAGTTGGTAGTATTTTGTAAAATAAGTGTTTTTTTCTTTAAAAAAAAATCAAAATCACTTTTCTTAAGTGGTTGCAAACAAAGCCTTAATTCTAAATTTTTATCCAAGTTTAGCTATCTCATACCAAAGCTCTAACACCCACTTTAAAATGAACTTCGAAAAAATCACAAGCAGATAGACATCAAACATAACCCAGTAAATTATCATCTCTCGCATATCACCAATTCCATATTGAAATTGAACAATCCAAATGAGATTTAAATGAAAGACAAGTCAAAATCATTTGATTGAGAATTGGCTCTCTCATATCATCATTTGAATAAATAATTTGTACTACCAAGAATCGAAGCAAACCTCAGTCGGAGAAAACCTCCAAGGCTCCAACACAGCCATTGGAGGCCAGTCCGTATACCGTGCAACCGAAGCATGGTGAGCACCATGCTCCACACCCCAAAACGACGTAGTTTTGATCAAATTAAAAAAACGTGTGAACAATACACGCGTGTACAGTATTTTTTTTATTTTCATACCAGTAGCATGAATGATGTAACTTGTGCTGACTCGTGTTGCTACAAATATAACTTCAATTAACAACATATGTAACTTGTGCCCTGAAATGTAACCCATGTTTAATGAAAAAAAGGAGTTTAATTGTCCAATTATTTTACATAAATAGTGCATATATTTTGTTTTTAATATTAGGTCCATTAAAAATG